TTTGGGGTTTAGGGTATAGGGTTTGTTTACTTTGAAGCCGCAGAGACAGTGAGAAAAAAGCGTATTGAGGCTGGTTTCAGCTGCAATCTGAACGGCTACTGTGGGCTCGGCGCTCGGAATGCTGTGCGATGCTGTGCGTCGGAAGCAAAAGCCTGGACGAGGCCTCTCGGCACTTGCGTCTGCAACGACCTTTGGGAGGGCGACGCCCTCACAGCTTTAATTAAGTGAAGCCGGGGACGGGATCCGTGCCTCAAGGCTGCTTCTGTGTCCCGCTGTCAGGCGAAGGCTGCACCTACTGCACCTTCGACGGCCGGCCGCTTGCTCTTTGGCCGCACTACGACCACCGCCCTCCTTGGATGAAATCCTCCGCTGCCTCGCCCCAGGCTCACGACAATTCCACGGACTTGCCGTCCTGCTCCACCCGCTGTGCGGTGGAGGGCTCGGCTGGGCCTGCAGTCTCCGAGAGTGGAGGTCTGATTCCGGGCTCGACGGCTGGACGGTCAGAACTCTGTTGCGGACGAGGTCAAGCTTTCTTGGCATGTCTGGGGTGGCGGGTAGGGTCTACTCGCAGCCTGATCTGCGACACTGCAGTCCTGCCAGATTGCTAGGCTGCCCGAGTAGTGTTCAGAAATCATGGATTCTGTCTGTTGTGCCGTGGAGAGCGCCTGCGAGAAAGTTCTGTTGAGACCTCTCTTGTGCTACGTGTCTCTAAATCCCAACTCCTCGAGCCTAAACCTGGACAGTCGGGATCCTGACTTGACAGAGGCTCAGCCCACTTCCGAATGTTTCCGGGCTCCGCCAGTAGCATCTACATCCAAGGCTCCCAAGCCTAAGCCCAAAGTTGCGGCAAAGGATGCAACGATTTGCAGCGGCCATGGAGCCTGCACCAACGCAAGAAGCCCAGTAGGGAATGCAGGGTACAATGCTGGTGTTTCCCTGTTGTTGAGCCCTTCGGACGAGACGTCCTTGGTCGCGAGCCTCGCGCAGCAGAAAAGCTTGCCACTCCCGCGATCCACGAAGCACAGGTCGGGCTGTGCGACTGCGATCCCGGATGGTATGGTGGGCAGTGGCCTTGTCGATGAAGCGGGCTAGCGGCTAGCGGATTGTCGAAGGGGAGGCTTAACCGAGTTGCATCTAGTGTTTGTGCCAGGGGACCATCCATTGTGACGAATGCGTAAAGCACTGGTTCTTCGTAGAGGCATGTGCCTTGAGCTCTTGTAAGGGTGATGAAGAGTCTATTTAAGAGTGGTTTCGTGGATGCAGTTTGCCGAGCTGGCCAGTTGTTGCAGGCCTTGGTTTGGGCATTCCCAAATCTTTTCAGCGGCAGACCGCACACTTTCAACCCATGACCCTTGTCTCCCGCGATTAGGCCCTCAACTCTGAGACTCTGTGATCGAAGCCTTCCACACGCTGAGCCCGGAGCGCCCGAACCAAAACCTTGACGTTAACGCATATCTCCTCTGAGGCCCGTTGCTTGTTGGGACAGAGGCTGGTTCGGTTTGACATGCCCGTCACAGGCTGACAGGCTGGACAGGTACAAACAGACTGCGAGAAGGACTTAAATTTCAGCCGCACAGTCAAGAGCAGATGTCGGATCGCAGCCTAAGGCACGTCTTAGCATACTTGTTTTTGCAGCTACTGTCTCCTTGCCAGAACTGGCAGCAGCGAGGGGCTGGTATCGCACGGATGGACTGCCAGGCGACCGCACATCGTTTGTCATTCTGTCCGTGTATATTTATCACTCTTCAAGCGACGTGGGGGTTTCCGAAAAAAGGGGACCCTAATATCGTACCCCTAAATAGTAGGGTCCTTATTATAAGGACCCCAAAATAAGGTAGCCTAATTTTCGGAAACTCCCACGTCATGATGAACAGAAAGAAGCATCTTCGTGTTGAGAAAAGCCTCCGTCTCGCAACGGCCAGATTGTGATATTCAGCTGCCGCTTGGACCCGCCGTCCGCATGGAATGCCACCAGCGGTGCCTTGGCATCGCACACCGATCGCTGCAGTAGCAAGGGAGCCCGAAAGCTGACTCCACGAGTGAGGCTACCAAGAGCAACTCTGACGGTTAGTTGCAGCTTCAAGCTCGTTTTCGAAGGGTTCACAGGTTCGTGTCGAGCTGAGTCAGACATCGGAGTGCCTGGTGCAGGTGCACATGCAGTTATCCCGGAACTGACTTCTGCCGCGAAGGGTGCCTTGTCTTGTTCGCGCGGGGTAGCTGCGCATGGGCCGCGTCTGATATAGTTGTGTCAGCAGTATGCCCACCCTCACTCATGGCTCTGTCCACGCTTGTAGCTATTCAGGCTTTGCTCCGTGAGGGCTCCCCTGAGCCCCGCTGGCCGACAGGCGAACCGGAGATGGCCTATGCGTGTGCCACTATGGCTGGGGTGGCAACGACTGTGAGCGATGTGCAGAAGGCCGAAGTCCAAAAGCTTTCGGCGCTGTGCGGGTCTAGGGAGTCTCGGCTAAGCGGCAAGTTTCCAGGCTTCTTCCCAGCACCTGAAACGCAGTCTCCTTCTTGCACGACCTTTTGCCGGGCCCTCAGGGGCCTCGCATGTCATCATGAATTTCATGAATTGCACCCTTGGAATTGCACGCACCCTTGCGGCCGATTCTCGTCGCCGAGTGGTGATTCCTGCTGTTCTGAGCTTCAGGTTCGTCGCCTGTGACGTGCAGCGGCCATGGGATGTGCAATGTCTTCGGAATTTGCGAATGTGACGAAGGCCGGATGCAGGAATGTAGGCTACGCGTGGCGCCTATGCGGCATGCACCTGCGCTTGGGAAGGTTGGGCCGGTGTGAATTGTGATCGCTGCGCCGACAACTGGTACCCACTAGGCTGGGAGAGGTGGATGCTTCGAGCATTTTCCGCAGCTGAGCTGTGAAAGGCAGCTGCAACGTCTACTGCACCTTCGAAGAGACGTGCTCATACCACGGGAGGTCCTCTTCGAAAGAGTCTCGAGAGGGGTCCTTGCCTGTTTCCATGGCAGGTGCAATTCCGATGGCATTTGCCTGTGTGCTGATGGCTGGATGACAGGGACCAGGCCAAGACCAACTTCCTTTGTGAGGGACTCTTCCTGGTCGAGCTACCCCATCTCCCGTCTATGTTGCAGGTGATGCAAAAAAGTTTAGCTGAATCAGAAGCAGCCTGCGGATTCAATGCTCCCTCTGGCAAGGGTGGGGTTTGTTGACGTCTTCTCAGACGACACCATTGCATCGGCAAGTGTTCAAGTTGTGTCACACGAAGCACATCTCGCCACTCTGCCAGGTCCCGCTATCAGTACTTGGAGGACATGCTCACACTGGATGACCTTTTTCCACTAGGCGCAAGAAAGCTACCACTGTCGGGGATTGCAATAGCGCAAAGAAAAACTTGGAAGAATCAGTGGACCGAACATGCTAACACATGATTAGATCAGGGTTCTAAAGATACCGTAAAGCTTCGTATGAGGACGGCGCAGGTTACCGTCAGATCCGTTGCCACAACTGGCCACAACCAGAAGCATGCCTTGGGATAGGGTTATGGACAGTTTTGGAGGATCAAAGATGCAGCAAACCTTGTGGAACAACTGAGATTTCAATTCCGAAAAATTTGATAGAATGTATAGGTGTTGGGCTTGCCGCTGTGCAGGGAGAGACAGGTAAACAAGAACAACCAGCTCACCAAAAGTTCGTTCCAACCACAGCACCTGTCTTCTATGTGGCAACCCTCCTGAGCAGAAGCACTACCAATCGTTCTTGAGCGATATTAGAACGCACCGGAGTAACTGGCTGTTCAATTTCTCGGTTCACCATTTGTTGAAGCCTTCCAGTATAGCTTGCGTGGATCTTGTGAAGAGATGGCCTGTGTTCACGACATGCTTGCTCAGGGCGAGGGTGATGGAAATTTCGCTGGAAATATTTTTGAAGCGTTAGACATTCTGTTGGGAACGCATGGGGAACCTAACTCTGGTAACTCCGGCTTGACGTGAGCATACTCACGAGATTGAGTTGAGAGCTTCATTATCTTAAGGGCTTCGTGCAGAAATAATGCTGAAAGGTGATTTGTGATATTGACTGGGAGATTTTTGCCATACTTCTGGAACAACATGATGTGAAAATCTGTTGGTGGCCTCGGAAGTCATAAGCGTGGCTTGACCGCTTGGAGTTTACGGGGCTCGGAGCTGCGCGAGTTTCATTTGATGAGTTTGGTTGGGTTCAGGTGAACTGACTGGGGCCACTGGTTCTGAGCCAGGCAATTCAACGGACGGCGATGTGGACTGGTGACTCGTCTGCGACCATCCCAGGTTTGGTGCAAGTGCCCGAAGACTGCCGCTTTGCCCTCCCCCTTGAGTTTACCAGAGTAGAAGAAACCAGCCACGACAGACTGGTGGCACTACGGCACCACGTATTCATGATTATCAGAGGGACCCTTTAGAGGGGTACTATACTTCCTTAAATAGGCTTGATTAGACCTTTATCAGCCCCCTACCCCCTCCCCCTTACCACCCTCAGGGTCCTTATGAGATTACGAATGAGCGTAGTCACGATGCGCGGCATAGACTCTCCTTCTCTTCCAAGGCAGTGCTTGTCCGCCTGCATCCAGAGGTCCAGGCCTCGGGGTCTCGGCAGCGCCAGCGTCGGAGCTTTTTCCGTGCCCTCAGCACTTCCTCGGAGCCCTCGACAAGGTATGGCCTTGACGCGGTCGAGACCGATAGTTGCATGGAGGAATGCGTGGTGATGCCCTGAGAAGTCTTCAAGTTCAGGTTACCACGAATCTCCGTGGCTGATCATTTGAGATTCAAGGAGAAGACATGCTCATGCGTGTTCGCACGGTTGCCGCAGCTTTCCAGGTCCAGGGTTCCAGAAGAGTCATGAGTCAGATGTCAGTACAAGAGCCGACGAGGCTTCTGCAAGCATACCTTGTTTCCCCATGGCACAAGGAGTTGCCACCACAACTCACACAACAACATAACGTCAGCCGTAGCTTGATTTGGTTGTCATCTTATCCATAGCCCAGAGGCATGTCTGCACACGTCAATGGTGAGAAGAAGACGAGTTTTGAGTTTCCGTTCCAGCTGCGTCGCAGTGCGGACGAGACAGTTGCTTAGCTGACCAGGGGGTTATCAGGGTGTATCAGTGACGATACTGGGGATGCAGATGGCAACTGGAATAATGGTCTCACAGAGAGCAGCAAGAGTCATGGGAGAATAGCGTCATAATCAACAAGCATCAATGGCAGTACTCGTAACACCAGTAGCTACCAGCTGTGACAATCGTACTGACATGATGATAGAAGTCTTAGAAACGACGAATAAAGAATTGCATAATCCCTGTGTTGAAGTCATTAGTAGTCCAAGAGTTTCCATTACGGTACGGCTCATCTTGTGTTTATGAATGTGGCTGTCACGCGTTTTCTGATTGTTATGGTGATTTGTATTCTCCTTCTCGTTACACTTTCTGTGTATATATGCATATGTGCATATATGTATGTATGAATGAACGAATGAATCAATAGTCGGAGATGACGAGGCCATGTGTGGAGGGATATAGGTCCATGACAGCAGCAATGGCATGTAGTTGTACATTTGCCATGCAGTACCACCAAGATATAGTGGTCCCTAGGCGCAGAAAGTCACAGAAAACCATAGACACGATCGTGTGTCCTGATATGTTCTTGTGTTGCCTCTGAGCTTTCTGAGGTGGGGCTACACTACAGACCAATCTGCTGCACCGATAATTCCTTCGGCGGTTTTGAGGTGACGGATGTCCTCTACAGCGCTCAGCGTCAGAACGAGGTGGTAGTCATGAAAAGCAGGCATTATAACGCCATATTTTTACTTCTAATGATAGTGTCGACACTTACCATGGTTCTAGTAGTTTCAGTACACTTAAGGCTTTGAACGAAGCAGTCTCCTTTGATGTCAGGTGCTGTGCAGATATGGCGTTTCGGAGATACAGGACCAAATCCTGAAAAAGGGAGACATCATCCTGGCGATCAATGGCAAGAAGACCCAGTCGGCTATGTTGCTCAGATGAACCCACTTGGAGGTTCATGGGTAGTTATAAGTGGGGTTATTGGTCCCCTAATGGGTTATAACTATACTTACCTTACTTATGACCCCACTTACAACTACCCCTGAACCTCCAAGCAAGGCAGATTCTTGTTTCTCGAGAGTGCGGCGTGCGCGACAATCCTAGGACTGACGAGTTGCAAGCATCACTCGAGCTCTACATGAGGGTCTGGAGGGACACGATGGAGGACAAGGATGACCCTACACCTCTGATGTATGTTATCTCAGAGCATCTTGGCAGAGTTCATCTGGCTTTCATCAAGCACTGACGACTTAAGCTGCACTGCCGGCGGTGAACATTGTCAGGTACGCCGGATCGGCGGTGGAAAAAGAGGGTGGCTACCTGACAGTAACCAAGAGGATGCAGATCCGAGTTCAACGAGACACCCGCGCCCCACCAGAGGTGTGACGTTGCTTTGCTTTTCTTTCTCGTGGAGTCTTAGTTTTGGATTGGGCGTTCCAGATGATGCCACGACATCACCGACCCAGTATCTTGCTCAGTGAGGGGCTCTTTGACTTAAACCTCTTAGACGACGTATGTGCCATAGTACGGTTGATAGGGCTTCCTGATCCACTTATGGGGCGCATTGTCAGGAGACCAATGCCCATCGCTGCGACTACATCTGGGGCCTACCGGCAGCATGTTAATTGTTCAACACATGCCGCAATAGGATCGTTGACACCACAAAGGTGCCCCATGGCAATGTTACCAACATATGAATGTAGTGATTTCAACTGGACCCTAGCCCAACTTATCCGACTATGATGGTGTTCGTCTTGCCAGAATAAGGCACATGCATGCCACGCACCGGCACATGCAGGGCCTGTTGCTGTGTTTCTTGAGTATGGCCTTGGCAGCACAGGCTGGCTTCTGGACAAAAAAGTGCACGAGGGCGGCTGGCTGCCCGTGGATGTTCTGGCTGCTGGGTAGATCTGATTGTGTACGATCTCCGCGAGGGCATAAACCCTAAACCCTAAGCCCTAAAAGGAATCTCCGAATCGGGATCTGACTCGAATCAGTCGTGGATGGATACACGCAGTAGCTCTGTGATCACCAGCATTGCTGGTCGAGCATTCTGGGGACTTGGCGAGCCCAGTCCAGAGTGAAGAGCGCTTTAACGCCTGAATCAGCTGAGCTGATACTCATTATTGGTGTTCCAGTTATGTGGGTAGTTGTCAAAATTATGGTCCCTTTTGGGGTACCCTAAATAATAGGTGCCGTATTATAATAAGGACCCAAAAAGGGGACCATCATTTTGACAACCACCCATGTGGATGCTCCAGCAGGAGTATGCCGAAAGCTTTGAGTGCCCGATCTGCTCCTCAGAATCTGATTCGAGCTCTGAGTCATCAAAATCGGCTCACGCCACGTCAGGACGCAGCCACAGGCAGTTCCGTCCGCTGTAGAAGGAAGTTGTGTAGACAGGCAGGTGTTCGAAGGTCGGGTTTCTGCTCAGATGTTTAGAGAGGAGTTCTCTCAGAGCAGAGCTGTACTGTTTCGAAGAAATAACCGATCAACTTTTCACAGTCACTTGCACCCACACATTGCATGCACGGCCAGCTGTCGCAAACCCGGTGGGTTTGTAACAATTTGATGTGCCGAGCCTGCTTCTAAGGCTGCGCAAACAACCACTTCGCTAGCTCCTCAGAAGCGCCCACGACTTGCTCTTGGAGAACTATCACACAATTGTTGTGGAAAATGCGATGAATAACTAGATGCGTATGGTTCCGGTCATCAGTGGTCTCGAAGGGCTTGGCATAGGTCGGCAATTTGGATCCCAGCGTCAGCCGCCAGGACATCCACCTCCGGAGAGCCAACGGCAGCCGTTGAGGCAAAGTCGGGGAGTGGGGTGCAGGCTTGCGGCTTCTTCTCTCATGCTGCATACAGGGCTTACGGCACAGGCAATCTGAACCAATCTTGTTTGGCTTGAAAGGCCATGATCAACATCTCCAATGCTTCCAACGACTCGGAGGACTTTGGCGTGCCAGTTTTCATTCACCGGCTGACATGGTTTCATTGTCACTTCAAGGATCCAACATACTTACGAAGAGGTCAGGGTCTGGGGTTCCGCACCATGAGAAGCTCCTTGCTGTCCCACCTGGCAGTGATCTCAGTTTCCAGAATCCTAAACCCTAAACCTTGAACCCTGAACCCTAAACCCTAAACCCCAAACCCTAAACCCTAATGTGACATCAGTCGGACGTGCGAGTGGTCGCCTGGAGCTCTGGGCCTTGGACTCTTAAACGATGGAGAAGCCAAGACTTGGATGCTCTTCCCGCGGCCTCGCATCGTAAGAAGCCCAGACTGTGACCCCCAAGTACTTCCAGGGCTCTTTCGGAATTCCAAATAGTGGTGTCGTAGAAGCAGGAAGAGGCCATGATGGACAGCAACGGCACCGACTCGGATATGCTTGTTCCTAAGAGCCTGGGTGTGGGACTTTCGGATGTCGGATTGGGTTGTCCTTGTTTTGTGGTTTCAGCTGCTGCGAACTTCGACGAGGAGGAGGAGGAGGATTGGGAATAGCGATGTTCCAGTTTCTTCATGAGCAGCGCTCATGGTCATTGCCTGTGGTCGCGGTAGGACTTTGGGTTTGGGGTTTCGAAAGTCGTGAAGGTTTCGGGTCATAGAGTTCGGCTTTGTAGCTGATCCTTGCTTGCCGACTGTCGCCTTTGCGATTGCATCCTCTGCCAGGGAGATGGACGATTCAGGCAAGTCCCCGATGCACATCGCGAGTAGGGTCTGCACGTTGGGGTTCAGGTAGTCTCGGTAGCTACGGAGGGACCAAGACTCGAGTATGCTTGCATGGCATGACTGGCCCACATGCTCCGAGCCTCAGGAGCATTGAGAAGATCCGATTCTGTCAATGTGTTGATCGAAGTTGGAATCTGTCCAACAAGTGGACGCAGGCCCCAGCAACACGACCACCGTCACCGTCACCAGGTGCTGTTCTCAGCCGGTTTGGCGTTCATCTTTAGTGAACTTAGATGGCCTGGGCGCGTGCTTTCGCTGCTGTTTTCCGTTGTCTGTACGGGGGAGCAGTTGGGAATGCAGGCGCACTGAAGGAGCTGTGTCCAGCGTCTTCTTGTTTGTCCAAACACCAGAGCCAGCTGAACTTTTGCACTGGACCCCAACAGCATCTCCAGCAAGCGACATCGTTAGAATCGTCGGTCACATGCAGAAGCGCCGTATCTTTTTCTTATCCATGAGTATGATTGTGCAATAAATCACTACTGCTGTGCGAATACTGACAACAAGATGCAACCATTGCACAGCCCAGCAGTACGACCTTCCGTTACATATGTACCAACATCAACATGCACAATCACGGACGGGAGTCAGCACAATGATCACAATCCCTGTGCTGCCGAGCCTGGTTTTCATAGTAATGTTGACTATGCAGGCTGCATACGCATACAAGTTATCCAGTACATCTAGACATGACAATTGTTTGTGTATAAACAACGGCCGCAAGAATCGTACTCGTGTGACTGAGGGTAACACGATTGTTAAACCAAGCAGCACGATGAAGCATTTACACTTTGCTGAGTGACAATACTCGTAACAACATTTAGGCGTAATCCTGGTCAGAGGCTGACATACTCCCCGTCCATTTCGTATCTTTCCTAGTTGTGTCTGACCATTCTGACCATCAGCCAGAACCCGGATTGTCCTGAGGGTGAGGTCTTTCTTGCAGGAGTGTCCATGGGGCCCCGCACAGTATGCAGATGAGGTTCCAGAAGTTCCAGACACATATCGAAACCTACGCGACCAGAATCGCACAGGAGACGAAACGCAAGGAACCATGAAACATTGATCTCTAGTACTGGAATCCCGACTCAGGACAACTTACACGACTTCTTCCACTTCCACGTTCACAGCTTCGGTCGCTCGCTCGGATTTGGATGGTCTTGATCAGGATGGCCTGACGCATGACGAATTGCCATGTTTGTATGTGTGTGTGGCAACAGCCTAACTGTCGAGTCTGAGCATACATCCCTGACATCGCCAGGCCACCACAAGTACCACCTCAACGCACACAACTTCATCCAGCACGTCGCTGGACTGCACTCGGCAGGGTAAGCCCTGAGCTTGGTCCCTCAAGCAGGGAAGTCTCATCCGAGATGCTTACCCCCGCATCGGATTCCCAAAGTACTGAGTCACAATAAAGACAACCACGCAAGTCCCACACGAAAGTTGTAGATTCCTTGTGAAGTTAGCGGCTTGGTGCGTGCAAGAACTGGGATTCCATCTCTTAGGTTGATCGCCTGAAGTTTTGGATCCTGGCACAGGTCCAGCAAGTCACTCTTGTCTGCCACGAGCTCCTCTTCAACATCCTCTACACAGAGCTGCTTGGATTTTGATAGGGAGCGGCCAGACAGGATGATGTTGGGAATGGCACTGTCCGGGAACCTCTTTGGCAGAGATCCGAGAAAGGTGTGAAGCTAAGATACCCTGAGCATGTGGGCGTTGTGGAAGCTCGAGCATGACATTCGCCGGGCTTCTTAATATCGCTTGAAATTGCAACTGCCGCAAGATCTTGTGACTCAGAGCTTCAAGGAGCTGTCTGTACGTCGTCAACTCATCTACTGACTATAACTTTATACTTTTCCTCGAACGGACCCATAAGACCACTCCCATCATGACGCGAACCGCAACTCCACGGCTGCTCCGCTGCCTCTTCCTTGTCCGCAACTAGGTTATTCAAGCACCAGCTCCACGTCGACTACCAGCGAAGCAGTTGCAGTTCAGTGAATAGGAAAGGAAGGTTGGGGCCATGACATGTGCCTGCGTCAAGCGAAGCTTGAAGTGTGCTCTCAGGCACGAGTTCGAGCGACTCCATCTCCAGCACCATGACCACCAGCAGCAGCTCCAGTACCAGCACAACCAGCGCGACGTCAACAATCAGCACAAGCAGCACTAGCTCAAGCAGATCCACGACGAGCACCAGCACGACAATGTCCAGCAGTACCACATCATCTTCCAGCATCACAAGTTCCACAACTTCGACTTCCAGCACTAGCTCAAGTAGCAAGACCTCAAGCACCAGCTCCTCCACTACCATCTCCACCACAAGCTCCACAAGCTCCACGAGTTCGGTCACCAGCACGAGCTCTACAACCTCGCATACCCAGACAAGCACCGTGACCACAACCACCAGCAAGGGCCTCAGCTTTGCAACGCCTTAAAGGGACTTATGTAGATTCACCCATTGTGCTGCTTCTCCCGCTTTGCAGATTCGTCGCTGTCCATGGTGAACTTCAGTGACTTGGAGCTCTGCATCGAAGCCTGCCAGGCCGCTCCAGTGCACATGTATGCAGCTATATCAGCTCCTAACAATCGACAAGAAGTGTCTAACGGATCTAACTGTCCGTCCGTCTGGCTATGTATCGTGCAGGCACAGCAGAACGACATTATTCCTAATCATATCTTGTGACGGAGCCACCCAAATTCATCACCACGATCATCACGGTCGCCTACTGTATTATGGCAGCTGCTAATGCTGTTGCACTAATCTACTACAATTACTGCTACTACTACTGCTACGACGACGACGACGACGACTACTACTACTACTATCACCACCACTAGCACTAGCACGAGCACGAGCACTAGCAGCACTAGCACTAGCATCAGCACCAGCAGCAGGACTAGCGCTAGCACTGCTACTCCCAAGACCCACTGCTACCGCTACGGCTACCACTCTAGCACTCTGGCACTCTAGAACTCTAGCACTCCACCACTGTCACTACCACCACCACGACGACGACTACTGCTACTGCTACCACCACTACCACTCCCACTACTACTACTGCGTACTACTACTACTACTACTACTACTACTACTACTACTATCACTAGTACTAGTGCTAGTACTAGCACTAGTACTACTACTACTACTACTACTACTACTTCTTCTAGTTCTAGTACTA